AAAATTGTAAGTTAATTCATTAATTTTAATTACATAATAATTTTATTATTTTTGATAATTTCCATTTACTCTTAAGTGTTTTTATACCCGAGCGCACTTGTGCACAAGGGTATTATAACTTTGTTCACATAACGGTTGTTTGTAACAGGCAAAACGAATCGAGATAGATATAGACAAATGTATACATAAATGATCAGAATGAAAAGAGAAATCGATTAAGCGGTGACTGTCTGTCCGTCCGTCCGTCTGTGCACACGATAACTCGAGTAAAAATTAATATATCTTAACGAAACTTGGTACGTGAACTTCTTTTGGGCGTGGGACGGACGGTATTGAAAATGGGCGAAATCGGATAATAACCACGCCTACCTCCCATATAACGGTAATTTTAAGAAATACGAAAACTGCGATATTTTAGTAACTACTGAAGATAATTCACTCAAAATTGATACTTACAATGAGTTTCAGACGGAAAACGTGAATATTATAAATTTTTGGAAAATGGGCGTAGCCACGCCCACTTATGGTTACATGTGTATATCTTGGTAACCGCTGCACCAATTTCTTCCAAACTTGGCACAGTTGTTGGCCTTAGTACAGCATACTAAATGGCTGACAATTTTAAAAATCGGACAATAACCACGCGCACATCCCATATAACGGTAATTTCGGGAAATACAAAATCTTCGATAAATCAGTAAATATTGAAACTAATTTATTCAAAATTGATGATTGCAACAATTCTTTACCATGAAATACGTTTATGACAAAATTTTGGAAAATGGACGTAGCACCGCCCACTTGTGATCACATATATGTATCTCGCTAACCATTCTAGCAATTTGTACCAAGCTCGGTATGGTTATTGTGCTTGCCACATAAAAGCAAACCGTTGAAAATTGTTGAAATCGGACTAAAATTGAGGCCGCTTTTCATATAACGGTAAATTTCATAAATGCTTGAAACTGCAATATTTCGAAATTTAAGGACGCTAATTTACTTAAAATTTATACACCCCGGCTTATCATGTAGCGGTAGCTTTCGGAAAGGTGGAAAACATATATTTAATACTTGCGCCGGGTATTTAATGTTCGGCTCCGCCCGAACTTAGACTTTCTTACTTGTTAATTATACGATTAATATAACTATTTGATTAATTCCAAATATCAATCAACAAGCCAAACCAAAGACAAAAATTAGGAATTTGTTAACGGCATGAAATATTTATTTGTTTATGTTATTATTACTTTCATTTAATTTTAAAAAGAAAGAACTGAAATGTCCAAAGTTAATGAATTTAATTTAATTTTATGATAACTTTTATTTTTATTTAAGTTCACCCGAGAATGAACTAAAGTATTTATTTTATGATTTATTTTGGAATGAATTTCCGTCACCTCTTGTCAAGCTTGGTTTGCAGACAAACCGGTTTCGGCGTTGTGCCATCTTCAGTGTCATTTTTCGTTCTGTCTGGTTCGAGTTTTTGTCCTTAATTTGTGTTCATTTATCTTTGGTAATGTGATAAAGTGCTTGTGGTGTGTTCTGAGTGTCCATGCCTGTTTTGTTTTTTTTTTTGTAATTTTTCTTTTCTCGTAAATCAATTTTAAGGGTTCAAAATAACATCCGATACGGGATTTCTTTGTTCATTTATTATTTTTATTTTTAACTAAAATATTTTTTTTTACATATTCAATAATATTAAAAAAGATGAAAAATATGTATTTTTGTAACTGAAACCTTTTGTTTTTAATAACAATTAACGAAAAATGCATTTAAATTAATATTCGAAAGTTTGAAATATTTGTGTATTTGTTTTTCCTTTTAATCAATACTAAAAAAAATTAACACTAATTATTGGCAAATCTAAGGCTACTAAGTAAAAATGTGTAATATGTTAAAGTGTACGCAATGAAATTTTTTTTTTGTATATTCATGAATTCATTTTATAGTAGTGGTTTTGGTTCATAGTTGGGCTAATATTTTTCTGTCTATTTTGACCTAGTCTGAAACTATTATATTTCTGACCGAAATCTGGCAGTGGTCATCTAGTAGGACATCCCCATGTTAAAAATACCAGTTGATTGCATGGAAAAAAGATAGTTGGCTGACTAGTTGTGCATGCAGTTCATACTAGTTGTGAGGTAGTTTACAACTGGTCCATTTGACTACAGGGTAGTGACTTAATCAGCCCTAGGCAGCGGCCGCTCGGCGGGCATATTCGCGTATACATACACGCTCTGCTTGAGAAGCCAGCCGAAGCTTCATTCAACTGCACGACTCCCAGTAGTAATCGGTTGTATGCATTCTTGAAGGATGCTTGCTATATGAGTGAATTAGTGTGAACAATTCATGCGTAATCATGAATTTCCACGAATAAATTCAAATTCTAGCGAATTGCAAGCGAATGTACGTTGTCGTTGTTTTTGGTACATTTCTTGATAAGTTTGAAGTGGAATTTTTGTAATATTTTCAGTCTTGTGCAAAAATTTTAGTGAACGGACGTGTTGTGAGATACTATTTTCAGCACAAACGGGCTTTTACAAGATATGCATTTGCATATGTAAATGCTACTTGTTTGTATGTCCCCGTATATTAAAATGTATCAGAAAAGTAGCATTTGCATATGGGGATCTTGTAAGAATTCTTTAATACTATTCCATTAATGCATTTTTGTATGTTTGAAACATTAATACAGACATATGCATACAGCAGTAGTACAAGTGTATGATTAAGGTACGCATACGCTATGAGAAACCACGCGTGTTAAATGGAAATGAAGGTTCATTTATACTGGCATGTATACACAGCAGCAAACTCATGCCACCTACAGCGATGTTGTATGCTTAAGATTTCTACTTGGGCTTGTTCGCACGCACACAGTGACATCAATTTCTGCCGAGGCTGCCCACCTCTGGACTAAATCAATAAAAATCGCCTCTGCGGTGACAAGTGCACGTTGCTATCGGCGCGTATGCATCGCCGCGGCAGCCACTGGCGTGTTTTAGAGATTTACGCCGATAGGCTTTTCGGTGGCGGCGGCGGCGACGCCAGTCCAGGCGTTTTTGAGTTTTGAGTTTTGTCGTTATTGCAGAGGATCAACCGATATATTTTAGCATCGATATTAATTTCTCCGATGTATCCAAAGATCGATGTTACTTCTCAAAATTTGCATCCCTAAAATCTGGACCAGGCTTGTGTATCATTAAAATTTTCTACATAATTCTTTAGGCGCCGAAAAAGGCGGTGGCGGCGTAAACGTCTAGCGTGTTTCAATGATGATATAGCGAGCTGTCAAGGTACAGGCAAAGCCGGTCGGGCAGCAACATTATCCATCCATCCAAATACATGTACACATAATTTTTAGCTTTTAAAAAAATTTTGGATTAAACTAAAGTTATCGCGTGCGAGGGCCTACTAAAAATCTAACAATCAGCCGTGAAAAAACTGAATAATTAATTAATAATACTTAAGTATAACAAAAAATGCATAAAACCAGTTCATCGTCGACGCTAGACAGAAAAGAAAACAAAAGCTAAAATCTAAAAAAGGAAATAATAAAAAAATAAAAAAGCAAACGCAAACGTTAATTGAAACAAAAGGCCGCTTGCGTTTTAGTAGCAAAACAGCTGACATAGCTGTAACAATGCGATGCCAAACCGGCAATTCGCTACCCACTAGCGGCATTGTTGTCGACCACACAAACACACACACACACCTACACATGGTAAGCTTAAACAAATGTCTACATGCAATCAAGCTTTGTTTCAATGCAAATACACAAAGCAAAATATATGTATGTACGTAGATACCACGAGGTGCTTACTACGCTGCGCTGGAGCGTCTTGAGTTCGCCCTAAGCTCTGAAACACTCAAATAAAACGAAAGACTGAAGCAGCAAACGCGTTCAATCACTCGAATGCCCTGAGCACAGTGTTGCCATCTTTCGATTTTCAAAAAGCACCAAAAACTTGGCAAAAAAGCGTTTTACCCCACCTAAAAGCACCAATTTTTTTGAATCAAACATTAAAACTGGTATATCTCGAGAAAGAACTAGTAATTTTTAGCAAAAAAAAACCGACTTCAACTCCCATATAAAAAAATATATATATATATATATCTCATGATCCGCTGATCGGATCTTAACCAGATTAGTATGGGACCACCTCTGAGACACTACCTTTCCGATCCAAAATTATCGAAATCGGTTGACGTGGTCCAAAGTTATGCGGTAACATACATAACAAAAAAAAAAAAAAAAAAAAATTTTCCGACGAACTGATAACCTCTTCCTTTTTTGGAAGTTGGTTAAAAATAGAATCGCATCAAATGAAAATAATGCCCTAATTAAAAATTAGTAAATAATTTGATGTTTTCATTATATAACCCCAAACCTCAACCTCACTTTGAGGTTAGGATATCTTAAAATTCTAGTGCTAGAGCAATTGTGTGGCCAGATTTGGATTCAGCACCAAGAAACGATTTGTTTTACTCAGGTGGTAAAAAAAAACAAAATTTATATAAATAATTAGAAAAGAAAAAAAAAACAAATACTTAACTTACTTACGTACTGGCATTTTCAACGCGAATAGAGTTTAACAAGGTGGATTTGCAGCTTCAGCTTTTTATCAATCTTGGTTGTATTTTAGTCCATTTAAATTTGTAGATTCTTGTAAATTTAGTGCTGTCACAGCCTTAAATATTCCAAATTATTTCAGGTTTTAACTATCTCGAAGTAATTTTAGTTCAGAAAAAAAGCACTAAAAAGGCACTAGGCACTAAATAATTTTTTTTTTTTTGGCGTTTTAATTTTCAAAAAGCACTAAATCTAGTGCTTAAAGCAAAACAAGTTGGCAACTATGCCTGAGCAGCCAAGCGGGTGTGCGAACAAAGCCAAAGTGAGCACAAATATGAAAACTCAAAACAGAAAAGTTTGAGCGACAAAAAGGTCCATACTATAGGCCAAAAAACGTAGCGGCCGTCAGTTGGTTTCGAAGTTGGCAACGGTGAGCAGCGAAAACGAGCGATCTCAACGCATGCTCGCCCAAAACGTCGAGAAACAGCAAACTGGACTGACGTGGTTTTGCAGCTCACGGCGTTCGAAATACTGTGGTGTCTTGCATAAAAAAATATATGGAAAAAAAATATTTTTAATTGAAGTGCCCTAAACAAAGGTTAAAGCAATGTTTTGAAATGTTTCGTGCGTTTTCTGTGAGATCAAAAAAGTTCAACTCTTTTGATGCGAATGTCATTCTACAGTACGCGCCGTCAATATTTTTTCATAATTTTGCTGCTTGTGTGCTTTGGTAAATTTGCAAGTAGTTTTGGCAGAAACGTATTCAGCTGCACTTTCAAATTGTGGTGTTTCATTATATAAAGTTTCCTGAATCATAAAATTCGTGCATCGGCATGAGTGTGTGGCGTAGTGCGTAAAGCGAAAGTTATTAAAATAAAAAAAAAAAACATCCCACGAGAAGTTTTATTTCCCGAAATTCCACTTAATGTCGCCACCGCCTGTAATGATAATAAGTGTTCAAGTCAAGCACTTAAATTTAAAGTTCACCTAAAAAACCAGAAACCTTTTTGGCTCAGATCATCTCAATATTTTGAAATTTGTATTCATTTGCAAATTTAACGAAAACACTTCACCTAATCAACGCTGGGTGCGTGTTTCAAATTTGTAATTTTCTTGCAGTAATAAAATAAAATAAGCGAACGCCAAAACGATAAATATAACACAAGTGAAATTGGTGAGATTTGTGTGCCGATATTGTGGCACCGGCGAGCAGAGTTGCAGAAAAAATTCACAAAGAGTGTTCAATTTGTAATGAGTTTCGTTACAGTGTAATTCAATTTTAAACTATTCTGTATTCGCACAACTACATAGTTAGCGTTTTTTTTTTTGGTCTGGCTTTGTTTTTGAACAACTGGATATTGCTCGACTTTCGACAGTACTTGTGTGGATTCCATTAAGCGAGTGCACAAGCGTGAACGCACTGAAGAGCTCTTAACCCGAGTAGAATACAAAAAATGTAAGTATTTTTGTATTTGATATTTTTTCGTATTAATTGTTCTCAATATACATACGTTTCCGCTTATGCTTGTTGTTTAAAACATTAGACAGATTAATGCTAGTCGCTGAAAAAAAAACTTGTTTTATTTCTGAAACGCTTGATATTTAATCCGCTTCTTCTGGCTAAAGTGGGCCTCTACTTGTGAAGTCATGTAAACAAATTTGAAAGTAAATGAATCCCTCGGCTTGTTTGTTATTTCTGACCTAATAACATTCGGTAGGTACAGGGTTCGATTCCTGGTCCTAGCAAAATCCAAATAAGAGTTTTTTTCTGGTAGCTGCCGCCCCTCGGGCAGGCAATGGCAAACCTCCGAGTGTATTTTTGCCATGAATAAAGCTTCTAACTAAAACCATTTGCTGTTCTGAAGCCGCGTAAAACTGTTGCTAAGCTGATTGTCAACCAATATTTTTCTAAAATACATTTAGGTACCTATTCAAGAAAAAAAAAAAACAACAACAGGTGTTTGCGAAAGTTAGCGTGAATTATTTTTTGTATTACCACTCAGCTCTTGTTTTTATATAGATACTACTAAACTTGATTTGTGAGGAGTATTTAAACATTTTGGAGAGTAACCTTAGCCAAACTCACTAATAAGCTTAAAAGAAATGGTATCTGGTATGAATCTGCACTGATAAAATTGTCAAATAATAGCCCCCTTCGAATTAGTGTTTCCACTCAATAATATTTTTCCTACCGAAATTGGTCCAAAATTGCCGTAAGCCTACCGACGTGCGACTTGCAATAAAAGTGTCAACTTCGGATTTTTAGCGTTTTCGTTACTACAAAAAATGTTGCCATTTCATTGCGCTCTCCTTAGCGTTTGTTCAAAGAGGGCAATGAAAAAATTAAAGCTGTCAATGGCACTGTGAATATTCTTCGAAATTATAGAAGGTAGTTATCATATCAAACAACATACAATTAGCAAACCTAGAGGTAGTTACATATATATTTAACAACCGCACTATTATTACTACGTCTAAAAATATGCACTAGGCTTTAGCGGATACGCACGATACCCCTGGGTGATCTCCCTGATAAGCAAACATTTTTCAGGTAAAAGTGTCACCGTTTTTGAAATATTTAAATTTTTTGAATTAAAAAAAAAGTAAGGCGTTTTCATGTATTTTCTTTAACTGTATCTACAAACAAGGCTATACTTAGTAAATTTTTTATGTAAAACACTTTCAGATAGTTGCTTCTCTATACTCAAATACAATGTAGTTAAAATATATTAAAACATCATAAAATTAGGACTATATTGGGATTTTTAACTTTTTGATATTTTC